ATATAGTCTATGAGAGAGTAGTAAAGTGCGAATTTGTACATTTAAACGTCAAATATGATGTGTCGATAGTTACAAAACGCGTCTCAAAACAATAAATTGTAAGGAAGGCCCTGTGGTCTAGTGGTATGATTCCTGCTTAGGGTGCAGGAGGTCCCGATTTCGATCATCGGCAGGGCCCTACTTTTTATTTTTTACTCCTCTACTAACACTATTTAACGTCGCCACCATCTAGCCACAATTTAGCCACCTGATGCCTCCCCACACACCGTCTTGTATGCCTAGACCCTACTGTCTACCCTCGCGTCTTCGACGCTATATCACTTTTTTCCTGCTTGAAAACTGATCAGTTTATCGCTGATTTCGAAAAGTGAGCACGAAACACCACAAAGTGCGGACCAAATTAATAAAATAAATGGAGTTGGATTGTAAATTACAATCCAACTCCATTTATTTATATCGTACATTACAATTTGTAATGTACGATAGTGATGATCTCGAGCACTTTGGCGTCAAATAGAAGGCAACAACGAGCACACAGACTCAGTAGCAAGTGTGCTATTCTGCTGTCTCAATATTGTCCACTAAATACAGTCAGAGTAGTAAAAGCACATGCGAGATGATCTCCATGAAAAAAGTGGAGTTAGAGTGCAGAAAGCGTCGTCGAATGGCGTAAAATGTGAAAAGGACAAAAAAGGACAAAAATTGCAAGTGTGTTTGTAGGACGAAATGGCCGTAGTTTGTGAAAGAGCGATGCATGAGAATGATGTGGAGAGAGTATATAGTCTATGAGAGAGTAGTAAAGTGCGAATTTGTACATTTAAACGTCAAATATGATGTGTCGATAGTTACAAAACGCGTCTCAAAACAATAAATTGTAAGGAAGGCCCTGTGGTCTAGTGGTATGATTCCTGCTTAGGGTGCAGGAGGTCCCGATTTCGATCATCGGCAGGGCCCTACTTTTTTATTTTTTACTCCTCTACTAACACTATTTAACGTCGCCACCATCTAGCCACAATTTAGCCACCTGATGCCTCCCCACACACCGTCTTGTATGCCTAGACCCTACTGTCTACCCTCGCGTCTTCGACGCTATATCACTTTTTTCCTGCTTGAAAACTGATCAGTTTATCGCTGATTTCGAAAAGTGAGCACGAAACACCACAAAGTGCGGACCAAATTAATAAAATAAATGGAGTTGGATTGTAAATTACAATCCAACTCCATTTATTTATATCGTACATTACAATTTGTAATGTACGATAGTGATGATCTCGAGCACTTTGGCGTCAAATAGAAGGCAACAACGAGCACACAGACTCAGTAGCAAGTGTGCTATTCTGCTGTCTCAATATTGTCCACTAAATACAGTCAGAGTAGTAAAAAGCACATGCGAGATGATCTCTCATGAAAAAAAGTGGAGTTAGAGTGCAGAAAGCGTCGTCGAATGGCGTAAAATGTGAAAAGGACAAAAAAGGACAAAAATTGCAAGTGTGTTTGTAGGACGAAATGGCCGTAGTTTGTGAAAGAGCGATGCATGAGAATGATGTGGAGAGAGTATATAGTCTATGAGAGAGTAGTAAAGTGCGAATTTGTACATTTAAACGTCAAATATGATGTGTCGATAGTTACAAAACGCGTCTCAAAACAATAAATTGTAAGGAAGGCCCTGTGGTCTAGTGGTATGATTCCTGCTTAGGGTGCAGGAGGTCCCGATTTCGATCATCGGCAGGGCCCTACTTTTTTATTTTTTACTCCTCTACTAACACTATTTAACGTCGCCACCATCTAGCCACAATTTAGCCACCTGATGCCTCCCCACACACCGTCTTGTATGCCTAGACCCTACTGTCTACCCTCGCGTCTTCGACGCTATATCACTTTTTTCCTGCTTGAAAACTGATCAGTTTATCGCTGATTTCGAAAAGTGAGCACGAAACACCACAAAGTGCGGACCAAATTAATAAAATAAATGGAGTTGGATTGTAAATTACAATCCAACTCCATTATTTATATCGTACATTACAATTTGTAATGTACGATAGTGATGATCTCGAGCACTTTGGCGTCAAATAGAAGGCAACAACGAGCACACAGACTCAGTAGCAAGTGTGCTATTCTGCTGTCTCAATATTGTCCACTAAATACAGTCAGAGTAGTAAAAGCACATGCGAGATGATCTCCATGAAAAAGTGGAGTTAGAGTGCAGAAAGCGTCGTCGAATGGCGTAAAAATGTGAAAAAGGACAAAAAAAGGACAAAAAATTGCAAGTGTGTTTGTAGGACGAAATGGCCGTAGTTTGTGAAAGAGCGATGCATGAGAATGATGTGGAGAGAGTATATAGTCTATGAGAGAGTAGT